AAAGAGGAGAGATGGAAGAAGTTGACCGACCCCAAAACCCCAAAACCCCAAAACCCCGCATTGTCAATATTACAAGGAATTAGTGAAAATAGACTTTAATATCAAATTAGATATTTAATATAGTTAAGATCATACTAGTATTACTTCTCTAGATTGACCTAACTTGACCATGACTCAAGGGTTATATTTGTTGTTGTTATCGACATTATTCATGGCATGTGAATCATTCAAAGCACCTGGATTTTTAAAGTCCATTGAGAGATTACCGTCCATTACGATACTGTTATCAGGAATAGTCTCTGCTAGTGGATCATGAAGCTTTGGCTTTTGCATCAACGCTGGAAGAACTGCGAAGAAGAAATAGAATAAGAAGAATCCTAGTGATGAGAATCCCATGATGTCACAGGTGGATGGGAAACCTACATTTTCTGTCAAAGCTGCGCCAATTAAGGGAGCCATACAATTTCCAATACCGTAAGCTGAATTGAAAATTCCTGAAGCTTTATCGCACAAGAATGGAGTTTATTCAAGACCTTCTTTTTCTGAGACTGCAGAGACAATTTCTGGAAGTAGGGGTACAAATACAAAAGAGACTGAAAATCCTAAGAAACCAATACCAGCAAGAGTAAATCCAAGTTTGTGAGGGAAGGCAAGAACCTTAGAAGGCCCAAGCAAGTACATAGAAATTGAGACCATCAAAAAGGCAGCTAATGTCACATATCTTCTTGGAATTTTAGAGCAAAGAATACCAACACAAGGGGAAGCTAAAGCGTATGTGAAACATCCAATTGAGAAATAGTATCCAACTACATTTTCACTGACATCGAAGGATTCAACCAAATAGTTTGATAATACGGGCTCGTAAAAAAGCATGAATACCATAGCGAACATACTTGAAATAATAGCAGTCATAGCTCTCACATTTGTAAAGAAAATCTTATAAGTAACTTGAGCCATCAACATATCACTTCTTCTGCTATATCTCTAAGATTTCTTTGCTAGGCCAACTACGTTGAAACTAGCTCTTTCAGCAACTTTATGAATAGGCATGGCTTGAACTGAGGCCCTCTCATTTCTTTATTCAAGGACTTCTTCACTAGGATATTCACTATTATAAGTGTTTAAAGAATTGGGGATCAGTAAGGAGACAATAATCAAAGCAATAAAGAGAATGCCAGCCATTGCATAGAATGTGCCAGAATATCCAGCTCCGATATAAATAGTTTGCCCTATAAAGGGACCAGATAAGAGACCAAGTCCAACAGCAGTTTAACAAAATCCTACATACTTCTCTCTTTCTGTTGGAAATTCGATTGATATAATAGAGTAAGCTGCTGTGCTAACCATAGAGTCACCAATTCCTTAGATGAATCTGATGATGATTGCAACAGCGAAAAAGACCTTATCATATGGGCCCTCTTCTTAATCACCGTTTGCATCATGTCCACCCTAAGGGATATAAGCTATAAGTCCGAATCCTACAGTAGCAAGCATACATAAAGTATAGCCTATTAAGATGGAGTTTTTCCTTCCAATTCTTTGTAAATTTGATCCAATAACAGGAGCAACCATGAGATAGGCTACCTAGAACATAGCGAGCACAATCGAGACTTGAATTTCTTTGACCCAGGCATAATGAGTCTACGCAAATCTCGGGAAGAAAGTTGCCAGATTCATATACAAGGTTTATAAAATACCCATTGAGACAAGTAACGAAATGAACACTCTTTTCTTTCTTTGAGCAGTATCTGGGTCCATTTGTACTTCTTTAGGTTTATTGTACTAGGAATTAATCTTTTTGTAAAACGATGCAGGGTCTTTAATCTTTTCACTCATTTTAAGTTTCAATTATTATAATAGATGATGTTTAATTACTAATATATTCATATTTCAAATTAGATTCTAAAATTATTATAGAAGGGGTTTTGGGGTTTTGGGGTTTTGGGGTTTTGGGG